CTCCTCGTGTCGGCCTCATTATCACAAATACCGCTAATAATAAGAAAACATATGTATTATAAAATATATAACTCAGTTCTCACTGCAGTGAGTGACAGAGAGCGCATTTGCTCGTCGACGAAAATGTGAAGTCACGGACGGATAGACAGATAAACAGATGGACGGACATACGGACATGGCGAGCACAATAGTGCATTTTTTCCGTAAATGAGAAAATGCGCTAAAAATAGGCCCCTTCAAAACCACATTTTATATGAAAAATAAAAAATTCATAATGATTATTAATAATGAGTAGAGAATTAGACATCAGATGATCAACGACCAGATATTTAAAAAATCATTAGTAATCAACTTTTTCTTAAATTCTACGCCAAGATACAATTTAAACTTTATGTCGAGACGAGTTATGAAACTTTGACAGTTAATCTAGCCAAGCCACGCCTCCTCTACCGCCGTGCTAGTGCGTGCACTAACGACCTCCTCACGTAGCCCGTGCTATTGCGTGCACTAACGACCTCCTCACGCAGCCCGTGCTAGTGCGTGCACTAACCACCTACTCACGTAGCCCGTGCTAGTGCGTGCACTAACGGCTCCCTCACGCAGCCCGTGCTAGTGCGTGCACTAACGACCTCCTCACGCAGCCCGTGCTAGTGCGTGCACTAACGACCTCCTACGTCTCCATTAATCTCTGAGATCAGGTCTCGTGCATCACACAGAACATAAATCGATCACGCAGTATTGATCCAATAATGCAACGTGTACAGATTAGGTTGAGATCATCAGATGAAAGTTGCTTGCATTTTAAAGAGGCAGTTCTCTTTAAAAAATTAGTTAAAACCTAATAAAATATCATGTTTTACGCCAGGAAAAGTTATTGAAGGCTAAAATTGATTGCAGTAATCGCGATATATAACAATAAAAGAGCAAAAAATTACCGAAAAAGTATTTAAAAACGCACAGTAATCATTTCATCGTGTTTAAATGTGACTTTTTGTGTTTATTTGGAAAAGGGAGAGTCATTGGTCGATGCAATGCTTGATAACAGAAATGAAATCACTCTGTCAAAAGTAAATTAAATCTCAGGTCTAAACTCCGTAGAGTTTGGTCTACACTCAATGCATAGAAAATGGTTTCCAGTTATAACGCTCAACTCATTAACGCAAGTTGTGCGCTAAATACTTAAATAAAATAAATAAAAACAAATAAATATATAATACTTCCATAATTAATGTATTAATGTAAGTATTTATACCAAATGAATGTACTTACAAATGTACTTACAGTTGAATACTTGAATACTTACGTGGCATGCATACTTGCCACTGGAGAAAAAAATGAAATTTTTCAAAACTACGAATGTGATGGTTTGAATTTAAGTCTCACGGTAAGGAGACGAGTACTGTACATGTTCTGAACAATTCACTGTGGTGTGCTGTGCTTCATGCCTGCTTGGTTGGGCTTGAAATTACATGATGCGAGCAATGGGTGCTTTAACGTCAGTAATAAACGAAGGTTTACCGCTTATATCTGCTAGCCACAACCAACTACCATACCGAATAATGTTCCTAAACAAATACTCGTATGCTTCTTATGTTATACCCGTATGCATGCATTTTTATGATTCTAATGTTTTAAGACCACTATATTGCGGTACATATATATGTGGCAAGTGTACTTGCCACTCGGATATAAATTTATGGAATCGCTTTTTTTAATATACCACACAAGGAATTGTATCAATTATTTTAACTCAACTTTTAGATTGTCACTTGGCGTAATTCATGATTTATTCATATTAAAAGAAAAAGCAGAAGACTAGAATAATTTCATAGTAGCGACAGAGCCTCCCAGAAGAAAATAAACTTGTGAAGCTGTAACAGAGCATAACAGTTATGCATCTGATGACCAATTTATGTGCAATCCAGAGCCTCTTCTAACGAGAATTTGCTCGCTATTGTTCCGAATGATTCTGTAGATGACGATCAACTCGAAATTGTAGCAAATTCAACCTCAACATCAACTTGCCATGAATCATAAAATCGAAAAAAGACGGTCTTCAGGAGGCAAACTGCTAAAACAAGGTTGTAAATCTAGTACCGGATTTCAGTGATGCGCCTGAGGAATAGTTAGTAGAAACCAAATCACTGGAAATTTTTGAGGAGCAGTGTTGGACAACACAGGTCCAGTTTGGTGGTCTGTTGTGAATACAATTCGTACGGCAGTCAGCATCATAGGACATATTAAGGCAAGAGTCCTCGCAACTGATGTCGTGAATGTGGCGCTCTGTACCATTTATTTTTGCTGCGTGTGCAACATTACTGTATACCTTGATTGTATAAAAACCTTTCACTAGAAAAAATAAACATAAAGTGGACGATAAAGGCAGAGATTTCATTCGCTACTTTAGATTTCTCCTTATTCTAGTACCTGTACTCTTCATTTGCCATACCATTTTTTATTAGCCGGGTGGCATGTATACCTGCCGGTGTGTTTTTCGAGTAACAATGAAAAAGTTGAAAAAATTTTTTAAAAAATTCTTTAGAAAATATATAAATAAATCCCTTATATTATAAAAAATAAAACTTTCCAATGATTTATCGGCGTTAATGGGGTAACTTGTATACTGCGCTGGTCATTACCATCTCGAGACGAAACAGTAATGAAATTTAAATGCACTTTCAACAATTAATTAGTCTTTGCATTAAATAAATTTTAGAATTTTTATATTTTTCACATTTTCAGTCAAATTAATTAACAACGTCACAAAAAAGCACCATTTTTATTTTATTATCTACATATTGATATACTCCGTACGTATAAACCTAGACCCAATGCATGTCTAATTGGAGCAGTTTATTGGTGTATTCAGTGCAAATGCATCCTGGTTGACGTTGATGGAAACTGAGCCCAGCCTTGGGTGTCCCGATGATGCGATTTGGATGGCAGTTAGCGGCGGCGCAGCCTTAATTGAATCACTTGATGCAGTTAACCATACACTGAACGTCGCTGCATCACTTGATGCAGTTAACCTTACACTGAACGTCGCTGCATCACTTGATGCAGTTAACCTTACACTGAACGTCGCTGCATCACTTGATGCAGTTAACCTTACGCTGAACGTCGCTGCATCACTTGATGCAGTTAACCTTACGCTGAACGTCGCTGCATCACTTGATGCAGTTAACCATACACTGAACGTCGCTGCATCACTTGATGCAGTTAACCATACAGTGATCATAGCATCATCACTTGATGCAATTAACAAGAAGTGCTCATCGACCTTATTCTGGTGACATCCACTCATTCTCGGCAGAGGACGAGCTGGCTATCTCATCTCAAAGTCCAAAATTCTCCAGTCTCAAAAAAAGCTCCAGCGAGGCACGGAAGACCGCGCTTCGTCCATGCGCAAGCCTGACAATACCTGCACGACATCTTATCTCCTAGCTGCAATTGAACTATACGAGCAAAAAAAGGCAACACTATTTAGAATTCTCGTTTTAGGAATGCACAAGAATTCTAAGTAGCATTGAAAACAAGGAAGTAATATATAATGGCGATTTATGCGGCAGATGCAAATCATGATCTACGAAGCAGAGACAGACCAAGACCTGTGCAGCAGTATTCCGATCTGCCTTCTACCCTCAATTCCTCAAATACCAACCGCTGCTCTCACCCTACTCGCCTTCTCCTCACAGCTACACCACACGCCCGCAATCCTCCGTTTTTCCCCTTCAAACCCCAACCTTACCCTTTTCCCCTACTCCCCCCATCCCCGTGAGGGGCCACGCATGCAATTTGTGCACCGGCTGCGGTATGACTGCGTGATGTGACCTGCAGCCCTCATCTCATATGCATTGCTGCCCCCCCTCTCTCCTCCTGAGGGAGCGAGGGAGTCGGGCGAGGCATACGTTTATCTTAACTGAGGCTGAGGTCGCTGCGTGTTGCATGTTGGGTTATTCTCTCTAGTGCAGACATTAGAGAATTGAGATCGTGCTTTGTGGTTCATTGAATGGAATATTCTGCAGACTTTTTCGACAGGTTCCCAATGTACATATAAGTAAAAAACCTAACAATATTTTTGCAACCAATACACGACTTTTCAGCTAACTATGGCTAACTCTATCTGACTAGTAGTTTTGGGATGAAGACGAATTCTGGACTTAATTGGGAGTTTATCAGGGAATTATGTTTCCAGAATTGATACATAAGAATAAGTGAAAAATTTATGCTTATAATTATTGTAAATTAGTAGTGAATCAAATCAACGTGAGCTCCGAACTCTCGGCAAATAGTGAGAGAGTCTGTCTACAGACGGGAACTGTCTGGTGCAGGTGTTGTGGTGCAGGTGTTGTGGTGCAGGTGTTGTGGTGCAGGTGTTGTGGTGCAGGTGTTGTGGTGCAGGTGTTGTGGTGCAGGTGTTGTGGTGCAGGNTAATCGTGTTCTAGTATTTTGGTCCAGGCATTTACAGGATGAACCGATGTATACCAATGATAGGACAAGACTCAGATTTGTTTTCTGTACAAATTTTGTGACATTTTTGGCTTTCACTTTCATTTCAAATTCATAATTGATTTGAAATTCAAGCAATCGAGTAAATCTAATTTAAATAAACTTGCCCACTGTATATAACATTTATTTAATTGTTCGTTTTGAATATAGCAAATGATTTCAAACGCAATAAAAATTGTTATTAAAATACTTCTATATTTAACGTTATTTAAATAGTCTATATTTAACGGTTATTAATGTCCATAAAATTATAAATATATTACCCCTCGTCACCCCTCGCGTTGATATATAACCTCATCACCCCTCACGCTAATATATAACCTCCCTCACGCTAATATATAACCTCCCTCACGCTAATATATAACTTCCCTCACGCTAATATATAACCTCATCACCCCTCACGCTAATATATAACCTCCCTCACGCTAATATATAACCTCATCACCCCTCACGCTAATAATTAACCTCGTCACTCCTCTTTGTCCCGGCAGAGTACAAGCCCTCCCAGGGACCGGAAGTTTGTCCCAGCTCGACTGGGAACAACATGGACGGGCTCACCTCAGGGGCACAATGCCTGACTTGTGCCCTGGTGCCCGCTCTTCTCTTCGCCTGCGCCGCACGCATCGGTCGCTTTGCTCTCTAAATCAAATACTCGAGGCCTAAGGTTAATCTTTCTATAGAGAACTTGCGACGCGATGTAGGCAGTCTTTTGAAAGTAGGCCGTTATTTGATCATAGTTGATAAAGCAACTGTTTCACAGTTGCGTCTATCAACGCAAAGATCGTGTAAGACAGCGGCGGACATTGAAAAGTCACATTTCAGAATACAGAGTTGGATTTATTAAGACATTTAAACCGGCAATTGTAGGTCTATTTTTAATTCTTCTGGACTTAAAAAAGATGACAGTTTCTCCAAAGCCACAGAGTAACGATTATTTTTAAATAATTCGTTTGACTAAAATCTGAGTTTTGAATTAAATTAACTGAATATAAATAGAGCACAATAACCTTAATCGAATTCGATTGATAATTAGGGTAGCGTTGGCCGACATAAGGTCGATTCTTCAATGACTGCTTATAGCTCGACGTAGTTTTTTATAGAACTTGCGTGAATTTAATGTGAAGGAGTTAAAATATTAATTAGAAAGCATAATAGTCTTATTGCTATCTGCTTCTGATGTTGCCTACGACAATAGATAGAAAACGCTTCTTTTGATATCGCAGAGATGGCACCTGTTTGACTATCATATATACTTATTACGTAAACAAAAGCTTGCATATCCATTGAGTAGTACAGAACCCCTATTATATACGTATAGATGCATGTTATCTATCTCTATTGGTTATTATAAGATGGTATGGAAGAGAAGAAACACAGTTCTTAAGCGTTCAAGATCGAGTCGAAGTATGGAAGCAATTTAATGCTCAGGAAATACGGCACGAACTTTCAAGTCGAGCAAAAATAGACTCGAGTTTGTTGTTCTCACAAGTTGGTAGCTGGAAAGTTTCAAGGATTTGTGCGTCTAATGTTGATTGCTTGAGAAGTTTTATGGAATTTCATAATCGTTCTTTCTTTCAATTTTATGATAATAATTAATGGTGCGAGTCCACGCGCTTGTTTGCTGCAGTTGCTTTGGTCATGAGATCGTTATACTGGATTCCTCAATTGGCAATGGAACAAATTTAATTATTCCATTTTTTATTAAGGCTGCTAATTTAACCAGCAGAGAACTGATAAATTAATGCAATAAGAGCCATTTGAGCTTAAAAATCGAGCTTAAATAAATTTCATACCTCCACACAAAAAAGATTAATCAAATCTTACTCGTTGCAAACGATACTGGGTTTTAATGTTTTATGTTATGTCTGCATTAGAAATGCCCGTAGGTCGACGGAGAAAAAACATTCATTTTGTTCCACAATAAAAATTGTGTTTGGTGAACGCATGAATTGACATTTTTTCAAGCAAGTTTCTCGCAACAAGCATTTTTTAAACTTTTCTCCTGGAAATTCAGCATTGATATCTTCAATTTTCTTTGTAAAATGCATGAGTGGCAGCTGAGGAATTGACCTTCATTAATTATTATCTTCTTTATTTATAGTCTCATTGTGAATACTCACCAGACAATAAATTATTGTCTGGCAGCCGTGACCGATGAAGGGTTGTTACAGTTGACGGTGTCCGTGAACGGCAGCTGTGAGAAAGCTTTGCACTGCACAGTATATACGCACCCTGTCGCCAACATTGCCGTGTAATATCAAGAATTATACGGCGGAATATCGAGAACATTTCCGTGTTATATAAAATATTTTGTCATGTTACAATAAGAACATTACCGTGTTACGTTGAGAACATATTATGTTGAGAACATCAGAGTTAATATCGACAAATTTGCTGTGTTATGTCGAAAATAAAATTATACGGCGGAATATACTAGAACATTTCCGTGCTATATAAAATATTTTGTCATGTTACAGTAAGAACATTACCGTGTTACGTTGAGAACATATTATATTGAGAACATCAGAGTTAATATCGACAAATTGCCGTGTAATGTCAAGAACAATGTATTGTTACGTTAAAAATATTACCGTGTTAAGTAGAGAGCATTACCGTGTTTAGGTTCATGTGCGTGTCTCAAATTATTTATGGTGCTGCAGTCGTGAGCTTTAAGCGTTCATATACAAAAATAAATGTTTAATGAAGCCAGTTTGGGTCGCAACGGTCACTTCTATATTGCCTGCGCATCACACTTTTCAGTGACAAGCCGCTTTCCACTTCTAGGCGCTGTAAAGTGAAATATGACGTCACTTCTTGGCCACTAAAGTTCACTTCCAATAGAAAATAGACGACTTATGGTGGACATCACATTGCTTTTCATTGAAAAAAACGCAACTTCCGGGGAAAAAATGCAATTTTGATCCTCAGTGGTCATGTCTAAGCGCCGTACGCTACTTTCTTAGCTGCGTGTTTCCAACATGTAATGTTTTCGAACGTTCCCCCTTAATAGCTTTAATTAAGAAGGTATCTTCTCTTGTTGACTCTCGATTTTGATAATCTAAGAATTCTTATTTAACTTTATAATTGCAGTTCAATGTTATTGAAATGTTGGAATTACTGAACGGAGTGCATAATCTTTTGTAAATACATCACTTCTATCTAACACCGGGCCCTCTCCCTGTGTTATTAGGATTAGAGGCATTATTGCCTTGATATTTCACTTAAAATTACATGATGAAAGAAACATGATTGCAGTATTTGATAATGTACGACATACTCAGTCATACTCAAAAGCTTGTTTTGATGTCTTGGTAATTCTGCTTTCCATCATTTTGAATTTATAGCTCTATGAAATTATAGTGATGATGACGTTACAAAAGCCTAAAATGTCAAAAGTTGCAGAAAAACTGGAAAGAAACTGCAAGTAAATTTACCTTTTTTCGATATAAACGATAATTAAATATATTTCTTAACATAAATTAAGTTTATCTTGGCACAAAGATAAACTTTATCTTTTTTCTGGAAAGAGAATTCACGAGCGCGTTCCAGTAATTCAGGCAATACGAAAGAGTTCGAAACTCTTGAGTATGGAAGTATTATAAAACATAATAGGATGTGATTGAATTGTTTTAATTCGTTGTGAGCGTAGCACTAGAGTGTGTTTGATGACCATAGTATTGTGAACATAGTTTATAATATCCTCTGTTGAAGTGTTGAATAGTGAGATGTCAGACACTTGTATAGTGGACATTATTGGGCATAATTTCTTATTCATGTTGAATAGTGAGAAGCATAATCATGTGGACATCGCTCACTATCATTTGTTAAACATGCTTTACAGTGGACGATGATTGGATATTATTTAGAGTTCATAATGTTTGCTTTTGTTATTATATAAATGGAACATATAGTGAAATAATTAAATTTTGACTACGTAGACGGTTGTTTTTGCAAGGCAGAGTCAAATGAAAATAAAAATTCGGCGCAAATTTGATTGTCTCAGAAGACAAGAGGTAAGTAGTTTAATAAATTTATTCAATACCTGAAATAATGTGGCGTAAAATTGTCATTTCTTGAAAACTGCACAGAGTTGTTTAGAAGAAACCTTGAACACTTATACACTCTTAGGGGATGAGATTGCTCACAAAATTTGTCAAACTGGTTAAAAATGCCCTTCAAATGGCCGCTAAACCAGTTTTTGTAAAAATTACGTGGATTTTAACCATATGAATTAACTAGAGATCGGATCTTTTGCCAGTGAAACCTCAAGAACATAAAATTGTTTAAGTTTTTTAATTTTAAGAAAGTAATTTTTTTAGAGGCGTTGCTATGTAAATGTGATCATTAATTTCTCTAGAAGAATTAAACTATATGAATAAATATAAATATCTATATTAGCGTGGTGTTTTAGCGGAGATGTTTCGGTTGCGGTCGTTTAGGTGTAACTGAAGCAATTAGAGACGAGTAGTCTGGGTGGTCGTTAGTGAGTAGACCGTCGTGAGTAGATTCTCTTCTATACACTCAGAAAAGAAAGCAAGTTATCCAAATATCGATGCACTTCATCCCTTACAAAATTTAGAGTCACCCCAGCTTCTGGTAATCCAAATCAGAAGCCGCCGCGTCTGTAAATTTTCACTGGGATGCCATTCTGAGGAACATCCTATAGCCTCGTATGGCCCGATTAAAGGGCGTACGAGTGCTGCGTACAGTGAGTGTGTCGCTATTTAGATAATATGAATCATTGATTTTTCTCAGTGTACTAACTTTATCTATGATTCCTGTAGTCAATGAGCATGTCTCCTAATGACGAGCTCTATATTAGCTGAATTTATCATATGAATTCAGTATGAATCTCAATGAGAGCCGAAGTCATTTCGGCTCAAATTCCGGATCTTATGCATAGGTTCCAAATCTGAATGACTATCACATGAATACGATTACGTAATGAAATGCGAAACTGAATAACGACTAGAGTTATTCAATTGAATGAATGAATTGAATTTCCTAATTCAGATCTACGTTCAATTGTCTAGTCGTTATTCAGATTAGCTTTTCATCTGGCTGAGCTTTTTTTTCAATATATTCTAATCAAATGTTAAATTCAATGTGAGTCCTTGGCCCAATTCCGATCTAGAGTGCTGAGCCCAACTGAAAAATAAATATAAAATATATCTTTAGATTACTTCTAAAGTTGATTCTCTTATAAATTTTTACTCGGCATAGCAGCCACCCCTCAATTATCCAATTATGAGTGAACATCGTTTATAATATTTTATGTTATTATGTACGACCTTCATCTCTTGGACAAGTGACTAGTGAGTCATGCACTATCACATCAATTTGTTTGCCATTGTTGTGGTACGTAGCAGTGATACGTCCTGTCATGTAAAAAATGTACCGATGTTCCGACAATGACACACTCATTTCTATCAGTGAGTGAAACGGTTCACTCAAATGTCTGAGACGGTGAAATGGCCTCTCGTTTCTCTAGATGGGTCACTGCTTGCATTTCTATCAGTGAGTGAAACGGCCTACTCAAATTCTGAGAGGGTGAAATGGCCTCTCGTTTCTCTAGATGGGTCACTGCTTGAGATGCGTCACTTCTCTGTATTTTTTATGGTCTGAATTTTGGGGCTACTTCAAGTCTGGCGGTCGGCCGTCCTTGATACGACGAAGATTACTAATAAGTTCTGTATAATTAAATCTATGTGACGTCACACGGTTCTAACGAATGGGTTGATGATAATACTCTCCATTCTCGCAATGAGTGGTGGGAATTTTGATGTTGCATCATAAACGAATTCCCATTTCAAAGCTGTGCTTTAATTTGTATGTTTAAATCAGTCAGCCCTACTATAGGCGCTGCAAGTAGTTGCCTTCATTGGAGGCTAACGCTGGGCCTCCGATTGCTGCTTTCGAAGACGCGGCAAAAGTTGAACTTCAATGTACAATTATTATATTCCATCTTAATTTAGATTCGCTTCTATATATGATTGTTTCTATTGTAAGATTTTTTAATTGTTATTGATTTTATTTGTAAAGAAATAAGAAGCCCGAGATTATTTATCCACTAATGA